CTCACACCACGACGAGGGCCCCGAACGACTCACACCACGAGGAGCCCGAACGACTCACACCAGGAGGAGGGGCCCGAACGACTCACACCAGGACGAGGGGCCCGAACAACTCACACCACGAGAAGCCCGAACGACTCACACCAGGACGAAGAGCCCGAACGACTCACACCACGAAGAGCCCGAACGACTCACACCAGGAAGAAGGGCCCGAACGACTCACACCAGGACGAGAGGCCCGAACGACTCAAACCACGAGGAGCCCGAACGGCTCACACCAGGACGAGGGGCCCGAACGACTCACACCACGAGGAGCCCGAACGACTCACACCAGGAAGAGGGGCCCGAAGGACTCACACAAGGACGATGGGGCCGAACGGCTCACACCACGAGGGGCCCCAACGACTCCCACCAGTCGTCGTCGTCGTCGTCGTCGTCGTCGTCGTCGTCGTCGTCGCCGCCGCCTTCGTCGTCGTCGTCGTCGACGTCGTCGTCGTCGTCGTCGTCGTCGCGGTTGTGGTCGTCGTCGTCGTCGCGGTCGACATCGTCGTCGTCGTCGGGTGCGTCGTCGTTGTTAGGATCATCGCTGTGGTCGTCGTCTCCGCTAAATCCCTCTTGCCTTCCACCGCTTTCTCTCCCTCATCCTCCGCCTCGTCCTATTCCCGCTCCCACCACAAGGAGGATGTACAAGGAGGCGGGGGGAAGGAGGAACAGGGGAGATATGCGGGGGCAGGCGGAAACACGCCTGAAAAACACGACTGTCGGCATGCTTCGCAAGAGTTGCTGTTTTGAGATGGGCTGGTGGGGATACGCGAAGCGTGAAGAATTTGCAAAACCCGTGCGGCGGCACGGCGCATCGCCGCGGCCGCGCTAGCGCGTGCAAGCACGCGCGCAGAGCGGCCAGATCGCTTGGCGAGGCCAGCGCGGCCGCGGTGGCGCTCACCGCTGGGGACTGCGCAGCGCGTTTCGCAAGCCGCGCGGACGCGCGGGCACCTCACTGCGAGTTGGTAGCCCAGGCGGGCGCGGTATCATCACAACGTGGGCAAACGCAGCCACGATGGTGATAGTAGCGATACTGGTGACGATGGTGACAATGACGGCGGCACAACCAACGACAAAGCCGATGCTGATCAAACCGATGGCGATGATGGTGCCCGCGTGTCGGTGATGAAGAATTCTTGGGGGGAGTTCGACATGCGCGCGCGGCTGGCGCGCGCGGGTGGCATGCGTGGCGCGGGCCGTGCACCCCGCCAGCACGCGCGCAATAATTTTCCAACGATTTCGACACGCGCGCGAAGAGAGGCCCGCTTGGCCGAGACCATGCTGTGCTGGAGAAACCGGAGAAATTCGCCAGACCGCGCGCGCAGACTTTTCCGCAACACATAATGCAACACTTTTGGTACTCAAATGTGCCCAACGAATTTCGATCTTGCAACCCTTACGGAAACCCCGGTTCCTGAAGCTTTCCGACATGAGCGGGCGACGACGCGCGCGCGTGGACTTTGTGCGCGCGCAGTTTTATTTGACAATGGTGGGAGGGTCAAGCCCAGTTTGGCTGGGATTATATGAGTTCAGAGTTCAGATTTGGAATGAACGGTGGGTAAACTGCACATCCCCAGGGGGCACGGATAACCCCGGAGGGGGGGGGCTCTTGATTTAAAAACATAATCTATGTGGTGCAATCTTCTCGGAATCGTCCCACCTAGCCACCCGCGACGTGGTTTGCAAAACCCATGCGACGGCGATTGCGGTGACTGTTCGGCGCTGGCTGGCGCATCGCTGCGGACGCGCCAGCGCGCGCAGGCTCGCGCGCAGAGCGGCCAGCTAGTCTGGCGCGACCGACGCGGCCGCGGTGGCGCTGACCGCTGGGGACATCCCAGCGCGTCTCGCAGGCCGCGCTGAGTCGGTGACTCGGGCGGGCGCACTATCATGACGTCGACAGCGGCAGACACGATGATGATAGAAGCAATGCTGATGGCGATGGTGACCATGGCGACGGCAAAACCAATGACGGCGCTGATGCTTATACTGCCAATGACGATGACGGTGTCCACGCGTCGCTGATGAAAGCTCTTGCGGGGGACTTCGACATGCGCGCGCGGCAGACGGGCGCGATCGGCCCGCGTGATGTTATTTGATAGGGATCGTGCCCCCTCCCCAGCAAGCGCACAAGGGCCTTCGAATGATTTGAGAGAGCGTGATCCACCGCCGCTTTACTGTGGAAAATTGCCAACCTTTTCCTCCGGAGCCCGGGGGTCTCCCCCCCCCCCCTCCGAAAATCCTTCCCCCCTGCCGGCCAAACCCCCCCCCCCCCCCCCCCTCCCTCCCGGCAAAACCCCCCCCCCCCCTCCCCTAACCCTCCCCCCCCCCCCGCCTCCCCCTTCGAAAACCGGGGGGGTCACTACCGGTTCGAACCCCCCCCCCCCCCCTCCCCTCCGGATCCGGAAAACCGGGGGGGTCACTACCGGTTGGAACCCCCCCCCCCTCGAAAACCGGAGGGGGGTCACTACCGGTTCGACCCCCCCCCACGCACCGCCAGCAAACGACTCCCGGTCCCTACCACCGCTCGCATCACATCCCCCACTGTTGTTCCCAGCACCACTGTCCTCACCACCACTGTCCCCACTGGTTCCACCACCGTCCCTATTGTCCCCACCAATGCCCCCACCACTGTCGCACTGTCCCCACTGTTCCCACAACTGTTCCCACCACGGTTCCACTCTCCCCACTGTCTCCACGGACCCAACCACTGCCTATCCCCATTGTCCCCACTGTCCCACTGACTCCTCCGCTGTCCCACTGAGCTGTCCCACTGTTTCCACCACTGTCCCCACTGTCCCCACCACTGTCCCCACTGTACCTCTGTCCCATTGTCCCACCGCCGTCCTCGCCACCGCCTTTACCAGTGTCTCCACCACCATTGTACCCTCCACTGTCCCAGTGTTTCCACCTCATTCCCACTGTCCCCACACCACTGTCCCCACCACCACCGTTCCCACCACTGTCCACTGTCCCCCCTGTTCCCACCATTGTCCCCACCACTGTCCCCACCACTACCGTCCCCACCACTGTCCCACTGTCCCCCCACTGTCCCCACCACTGTCCCGCTGTCCCCTCACCACTGTCCCCACCAACACCGTCCCCACCACTGTCCGCACCCCCACTCGGTTTTCGAGGGGGGGGGGGGGTTCGAACCGGTAGTGACCCCCCCCCCTTTTCATGATGAGCTGGGGGGGGGGGGGGGGGGGGGGGGGGGGGGTTCGAATCGGTAGTGACCCCCCCCGGTTTTCCGGAGGGGGGGGGGGGGGGGGAGGGGTTCGAACCGGTAGTGACCCTCCACGGTTTTCCGCCAGCAGCGGTAGAACACGCTCTTTCAATGATTTCGACACGCGCGCGAAGAGACCTGCTTGGGGGCATTTGATGTTGACACACCTATGATGTTCGTAGGAGTTCGCAAGAAGGCGCACACTTTGTTCGACACGTCATGCTGAGAACTATTGTTTTTACCCGCCACGGAGTGGGCGTGTTAGAATGCTAAGATATTGTCTGGGAGAGTCTTGTTGGATTACAAACTTGTCAAGCCGATCCCCCCCTCGGCCCACGCATCCTTCGCCCCCCTGTAAAACTGCTTTCTGGCGCGATGCTCTGCCTCTCAACGGCCAACATGGCATTCAAGACGGTTTCCAAGGCAATCAAGATGACGCTAAGACGGCCCACGATGGCCCAAGACAGCTCAAGCCAAGACGGCATCAGCAAAATCCAGAGGCTCCCAAGGCGGCCGAAGATGGCTCCAGAAAGGCATCCAAGAAAGCCCGAGAAGATCAAAACCATTGATTTTCCTTGTGTGTTCAAAGGATTTGGAGATTCTCGCCGATCTAGGTTTCAAACCGCCCAAGACTGCCCAAGAGGCTTCCAATATAGCTTCACGACACTTAGAGGGCCCCGAGCCGTTCCAAGAGGACCCCAAGATCGCCCAAGAGGCTCCTACGAGGGCCGAGGGCACCAAAACTGGCCAAAGAGGCCCGGAAGACTGCCTGCGAAGGTGTCAGACGAGCCAATCGCATCCCTAAGACGGCCCAAGAGGCCCCCAGAGGTCCCAAAAATGCCCAAGGCGGCCCACAAGAGGCCCCCAAGTGGCGCCCCAGGAGGCTCCCGGGAGGCCCCTAGGAGGCCCCTCCCAAAAAGCTTTTTCCTCATCCTGGCTTTCTCCCTCTCATCCTCCTCCTCCACCTCCTTTTCCTCCTCCTCCTCCGCCTCCCTACCACTTTGACGAAGACGATGTCGGGATCACGACACTCCCCAGTTCAGACCACTCGCTGGACTGCCGCGGAAAGTGAACTCGATGTGTTTGGAGGATTTCGGCATGCGCGCGCGACGACGCGCGGGTGCAACCTATTGATTTTGAGAGACGAGTGTGCGCACAGAACTATGTGACAGAGATGAGGGGGGCGATAAATGGCCTGGCTGGGATATTATGCATTTATAGTTAAGAATAATGGATGGGGCCGAACCAAATCTAAATTCTACAATCCCAGGGGGTACCGACAAACCAGGGGTGGAAATCAAATCTGATTGTTCCTAGAAGAGACAATCTACGTGGTGCAGTCAATGTGGCGCAAAGCAATGCAAAACAACGCAAATAGATGCAAAACAAGAAGCTGCGGCGACGTGGATGCGACGGCGACAACCGGTACCAAAGCCAAGACGACGGGCGGCGACGAGGCGGCGACGGGGCGGCGACGGCGACAAGATTGCGATGGACCCGGTACCGGAGCGCAAACAATGGTCGGCGACGAGGCGGCGACGGGGCGGCGACGGCGACACCAAGGCGCGGAACCGGCACCGGAGCCCAGCTCTTTTTCCACAAGTAAGAACCCCATACATGCAAGCACAGTTTGGGGAAGATAGACAAAGAGTTGGATGAGGGTAAGGAGGAGGAAACGAACGTGGTAGCGAATGAGAATACGTGAGCACAGACATAGAATTTGTGCTCACCGTGCCACCATCTTGTTCATCTCCGTCTTCGCCATTTGCATGCCAGATGGATTCAAAGTGATCCTCGCGGGCTGCATGCTTACCACAATACTCCTCTGCAGCTCTATGCAGATGACACCGCTGGAATTTCCCCCACAACAAACTTTACGTCTTCCTTCCCCTCTACCTCCTCCGTGTTCAATATCTGACTACGTCCTTCCGTGGGGTCGGCAACCACCTCTTGCTCTTCCTCGCGCTCCTTCTCCTCTCTCTTCCTCCTCCTCGCCCTCACTGCAAAGTTGTCGCCACCTCAACGATCGCAGCATGCTAAGCTAGTGCAAAGATTCGTCTGCCACGCAACATCCGTGTTCAGCGACGAAGAACGAAAGAAGGCCAAAAATATGAGACCAACTGGGGTACAGGTGACCCGGGGAGAAAGAAATAGAAAGAGAGAGAGAGAGAGAGAGAGACAGAGCAACATCAAGAAATGCACGTGCTCCCCAAGTCAAGACAGCAAGGAGGGTGAACTGTCAGCTCAGCCAGCGGGAGGAGGGGAGGCGCGGCGGGACCACTCACGTGGCTGACAACGAGGCGCTCTCCCTCAAGAGGGTGCGCTGGACTCCTGGGTGGCCGACGACTTAGCGAAAAAGGCCCAGGCAACCAGGACCCGATTCGTTCGCCAAGGTCTAGCCCTGGCGTGCTGGTCAGCAACGCTGTTTTGCCTCTCGCGGTGGCGCTCCTAGTCCCAGTCGTGCCGAGAGGGGATGGGAAAAAGGACCCCCTGCTGAAAATCAATGCACAATTCAGCCAGTCACCCTCCCTACCCCAGTAAGAGGGGAAGGAGGAGGAGGAGCAGAAGGATGACGTGCAGGAGAAAGGAGGAGCAGGAGGAAGAAAAGAGAACAAGGATGGATAGAATGGGGGTAATAGGATAGCGAAGCATGATGAGAGGGGCTCAGAAGGGAGCAAGGGAGACCGGAGGGGAGGAGCAGAGGCAGGACAACGAGGATGAATGCAGGGAAAGGAGAAGGGGAAAGAGGGCGAAAACCCGAGAATGACGACAGAGCGGGAGAGGGGCAGGGTAAGGACGAGAAGAGGATGAGGAGGAGAACGACAACGAAATTGATAACAGATGAGAGGTGGGGTGGTAACACTAACGAATGATGCTCTTAGACGTGGCTCGGAGGGGGGAAGCAGTGTAACATGAGAACAGAACACCGCGGATAATACATCATCCCCCCTTCACCCCTGAGAGTTGATTACCCCCGGCCAAGACAGAGTTGGTCGGGGGAGTCGGGCGGCAAGGCCGACCTTCATTATCGCGGGGGAAAAAGACGACTCGAAGATGCGTCTTCTTATGTTGAGCGGGCCATCATCAAGGGCGTGTGGCAAGTATATCTGATATTCTCACCATGGCAACTGTTCCAAGCCACGGACGTGCGGCAAGACTCAACATTATCCTCTACTGCTATGGCTACTGCCGCTAGTACTACTGGTACAACTACTAGTAGTACTAGTACGAGTTACTGCTA